GTGCTTTGCCTTAGTGTAAGAACATGTGGATTGTAGTGAGAGCCGGGGGGCCAAAAACTCTTCAAATCAAAGGAAATCATACCAAGTACTTGTCAATAGGCTGTTCCAGGGGATATCTGTATTTTCTCTGTCTGTTCTGATAGATTCTGATACACTGAAGCGTTTGGACAGCTGCAGGGTGCTGCATCCTTGCCCTTGTTTGAATTTTCTAACCCAGACTTTTAAAGGATCCTCCTTACACTGTTGCCACTCAATCTCTTGTACACTGGACGGATACATGAAAGCTTCTTGCATTCGTAGTAGTATCCCCACTCAACACATCCCTCAGTACTAAGCATTACTCCACACATCCTGATAGGTTAAACAAGGTGTTTTGCTAAGTTCACCTCAGACTGTCTAAGCCCTGCAGCCAATCCCTCTTAGTTTCACCTCAGTCAGGGATAAATCTCACTTATAACTATCCTCCCGTTCTGCCAACACATCTAAACACTCTCTGATCACTTTCAACTGTGTCCTAATGGGGGAAGCAAGCCATGCCATTACATCACCGCACCCTCCCCCTCCTGCCTTGTTTGTATAGTCACACTCTGTCATTCTCTTTAGCTGTCCGCTCCCTTCTCTCTCTCTTTTCCCTTCGATAATTATGCCCCTGCGCTGTCAAAGCTGCTCATGCTGTGCCCAAATTCACCTCCATGGGTGTATTATTAGGACAGTGGCCACCTGAGCTATCTTTCACCCCCAGGGAGGCTGACTGACGATGGCCCACTGCTGGATGTGGGTGGCCCTTTTGCGCAGCCTTGAAGTCCCGCTGCTGGGCAGGGCAAGCCAGCCGGGCCTGGCATGGCTACACTGGGCAGGGAGTATGAAGTATGGCCATAGGCCCAGTCTGGGATGCACTGATCCACGCTACCAGCTGCCATCTTCCTCCCCTTCCTGCATGCTCCCTTTCCGCTGCTGCGCGGCTTCTCTCTCTTATCATGTCTATTTTTAGAGCTGGCAGATTTCTACCTTCTAAAATGGGCAAATGTGTTTTGAAACAGGAAGGTGTGTGTGCGTCTGTGCGCGCATGTTTTTTGTGTGTGTCTTTCTTAGACATACTAGTGTGCACTGTTGGCCAACTCGTGCACGTTTCATGCAGCCCTGCTGGTTCACTGTACATTCCAGTACACATGCACGCTACCCATTTGCATTCAGCTGCTCTATGTTCTCCGCCCCGAGGGAGAGCGTTGATTGAAGGTTTTGGTTCAAAACCGAGAGACAAAATAACAAACAACAGTACGGTGAGACCTCTTTGAATGCTACATTGTTTTTTAATATATATCAACACCGTGTGCATTTAGTGTTGATTTCATCTATCTGCTTAGCTAAGCTTGGATCATTATTACTTCTTCCTCATTATTACCTATCCACCAGTACACCGTGCTGCCTCAAATCTCCTTAGACCATCGCCCCTCGACTGCAAGCTACAACTCCATAGCAGCTGCCGTACAGAGAAGCTACAAAGAGACTACTGAAGCTCCTAACACAGCACTAGTGACAGTAGCATCTTTGTCAAAGTGCTTGGAAGCCCGTCATGTTGAAAGAAGCCAACATGCTGGCCTGTTTGGCGAAGGAGAAAGGATGCTGCATTCCCAGGGAACAAGAGAGATAAATAGAGTAGAAAAAATGCATCCCTGTGGAGATGGAGGGAGCAAAAAAAAACTACTGTAAACCAATGTGAGCGGGAGGGGGTGGACGGAGCTACAGCATGCCTCCACATCAAAACCCCAAAAGTAAATTCTCCCCCAGTTTTTGTTCTTTTACTACGACTGCTACATAGCAGTCGTAGAGTGAGAGAAGTGGAGGGGGGAAAAATTATTTTACATCTTCCGCAGTATGTCTGTAGTCTTATTAAGAGTGAGCAGCTCTGCGCTTTGGGTGATGCTTTTTCTTTTTTTTTCCAGAGTGCCCTGACTTTCTCTTGACTTGTGGGACTGCTGAATGAGTGAATGTAAATGTACACCAATTAGATAAGAAACTGGCTTTTCTGTAAAGCTGCCAAATCTGGAAGGGTGGGAGGGGAGAAAGAGGAAGAGGAAGAGGGGGAAGAAAAATATAGCACTTGCTTGAAAATAAATGATCTGTATCCTAATATCACTCAACCAATACCTGTTTGGCATGTGCAGCAGAAAGAAGCACAATATGATATCCCCGTGTTGGTGCTGTTCCTGGATTATTAAAATTAAGGTTCAACATTGCAAGCGACCAATCACATTGTTGTGATGTCATTGTTTTGTGATGTGGAAACACCATCACGCCAGACCCTAACCCCTTAACTAAAGCCCTGTAAGCCTAACCCTAACCACGATCGCATCCTGACCTCAGTGCTCAGCGATTCTGTAGCGAAAATGAACAGATTTCATGGGTCATTACAAATCAGAATGAGGACTTAAAGTGATGACAAGAATATAGTCACGGTACAGAATTAAACCCGCTGTTCTGACATCCCTTGCTTCTTAAGTAAACTTTTATCTGACAGCTTCCCCGCTCACTAAATCCCCATCTAATGCACTTAGAGGGGAGCGCTGCTTCTAAATCCCCCCACAACCACCAACGACCTGAGAAGAACAAGAACTTTCTGCTCTAAAGACCCGATCCGATGTGAAACTGCTGACTAAGGCCAGACTCCTTCCTGTCCCGCCCTCCATTCCTCTTTCTCTTTCTGTCTCATCTACCAAGCAACACCACTCTGGATCCCCGAGAACGAGAGACGCTGGCCAGTCCTTGTAAGGAAGCCCATTAAGGCATCCATCAATATTTCATCATTTCACTCAGAAACATAGTTATAGAAGTTTCCAGGCTGAGGCCATTAGGGGGCAGACGTCAATACGTTATGGCAGCGAGCAGTTCTCCTGACTTCTCTCTTTCCTCCCCGCCACACTCTTTCCACTAGCTATGTCCATCTCCCCTCTCAGGATAAGTCACATGAGAGGCTTCTCTCAAGACAACAGTGGTTTCCGCTGTTAAACAAATCATTAACCATTAGGTATCCGAAAACCACAGTATCCTCTGCTGCTCCTGTCAAATGACCCCTCCACCCCCCAAATGCCAGCCTATGTGGGAGGAAGGGAGGCAGACAAGAGTGGAGGGCTGTTTGCAAAATCGTCTTAACAACTAACAAGTCTCCAGTCACTCAGAATATAAACACCTAATTAACAGCATGACATGATTTTATAATGTGTTGTCGGCCGACCAACGCTCTGCGGAGACACTTGTTGTGAGATTGACTCAGGGCTGTTGAGACGGGTCTGGCACCCCCGGTACTGGCCCTGCCAGTGAGTGGACACTCAGCGACAGCAGGGCTGATCATCAAGAGGGTGAACTTGTCTCACACACGCACTCAATACACACACACACACACACACACACACACACATACACGTGCTGTGAGTCAAATCATGAGTCAAACCTCAGATATAAAACTTTCCACGGAAGAGGCGGGAGGAAGCTTAATTTCATTCGTACGATTTTATAACCCTTATTTCTAATTATTACACCTACATTAGTTGGGAGTAGCCTCCAGGCTAAAGTGTGTTAAATACTGCTGTAGCAGACATTTTAACGAGTTTTCCTGCAGCTCACCCTTTAGTGTCCTTGGAACTAAAAGGTCCCAGTGTATGCATTTTACCACAGGAAATGCGAGCCCCTCTAGAAGCCCTAAATTAAACCGGACACCGGGCTGGCAAGTCCATACTAATGTAAACAACACCTTTAGGTCAGTCCCCAGTCATTGCACTTGTGTCGTTCCTTTCGGGTCCCTGGGGCTTTTACAGTGTGAATCCTGCTCTGACCTTAGTTAGAAATGCCTGTCATTACTCTTTTACGCTTCAGCCCTGTGAGCTGGTGATTTCCAAACTAATAGTTTCAACTTTTATTTCAACACTTTTAGGTGCATTTCATTCAAGACCAAGGCTACTGTGCATGTGGCCCATGTGTTCCTGGTCACTATTTTTTTTACCACTTTGAAACATTATTATTACGATATCCTACATTTTAAAGTCACTAATAAAAGTGAAACATATATGATACAAGCCCTGACATGGACTCACCAGAGTGCAGAACCTCTCCGGTGGCCTTCCACATGTGATCCCAGGCGGATCCACCTTGATCCGCATAAAGTCTTTCATGGACCTAGGTTTTGGCTGGCAGGCGTAATGCTCCCACACCGAGCCCTCGTCCGTGCTCACCAGGGATTTGCACAGTTCGTACTGGCCCAGAGTGGAGGCCAAGCAGCGCAGCAGCAGCAGCAACACAGCCTGAAGGAGCATGGCAGGCTGGGGGGGTATTTGGAGAGGGGTCCGGCACAGGGTGAGGGGGCCACGGAGCTCAGAGGACAGGTTACGAGCATGGAGCGATAATCATAGGGAACGAGTGCACATCCCTACCACCATACTGCTGTGTTTGGAATGGAGAGGTCAGGGTAAATTGACATCACCTGCCTCCAGGTTTATTAATTCCCCAAAACGAAACACTGAATCGGCAGCTTTCTCTCAGCGTTTCTCGTCAGTTATTGGCAGCCCCAAAGAGGAAAGGAAAGCAGGACACTTCACTGTTTTGATGGCTGATTTCCTGAGGAAGATGGACAGTGGGCGTGGGGGTGGATAATGTTACGGAGAGGAGTCTCGGCAAGCACTCTAACCATAGTGTTGCAGGGAGTTGGGTGGGAGATGTTTGCGCGGATCCATGTCTCACAGAGCGGTGTCCTTCAGGGAAACGGCGGGGCTAGTTGGAGAGGATGGAGGAGAAGTTGATGCGTCTCCAGATGTATCCATTGGACATTTCAGATTAGTTGAGCTCTTCCGATTGTCCTGGAGGTGAAATGGGGGGCATAAATAATAGGTTAATACCTGTGTCCGCAATTTTTCGCATTCTTAATTTCACTGCAAATAAATATATACACGTGGCATTTGACAGGACTATGCTCGATAAAACTTAAGTGCCCGTCTTCGAAATGTCATTTTTATAGTAACGTTGAGCTTTTAATTCGCGGTGTCAGATTAAAAATGCAACAAATCCCACTGATTTACTCTGGAAAACATCACAACTGCCCCCAAACTATGAAAACATTTAAAGTGAATATATGCCACGAACAGTTAGTTACAAGGAGTTTGTTTTACATACAGCACGAATATCTGAGTGTTAAAATAAAAGAAAGAACAGAAAAAAACCGCCACACCGCGTGGATAACCTTATGCGTAAAAACACGTGCTGCTGCCGGGTGCCGCCTGTGCGTGTGTGTTTTTTGTATGTGTGTAAGAGTTGTTTTTGCTCCAATACCGGCGACAGAGAGTGGACTATACAGATGGTAATAACTGCACTGCAAGAAATATCCGTCGGCAAGAGGTATTTAATAGCCCAATATAATCTGTTTACTTTATGACCCGGCAAATGGTGCAAAAAATAAAGAGTGACTTATCCAAAGTCTAGTTCAAGAATGTTCTTCAGCGTAGTGTCATTTCATTTATACTTCATCAACCTCGGGCCTATCCAAAATTCAGCTTTGCTTCAGCACATCAGTAACTGGTGTGATAATAAAGTTCCGGAGAAACAAACTGCTAATTGAGTTATTCGCTAATATAAATAAATAAACTAATATTATTTGTATTAACTATGATTCCATTTTAGGCCGAGTAAATGAATAGCTACTCATGATGATTTCCCCCCCCTTTTTGCAGCGTGGACTCACTGCTTATAATCCGCCCGTCATCCCACACCAAAGGAAGTCTGGTGCTTAAACAGCCTATCCCATGCACACCCGGTGACTTACTTCACTTGTCAAGTGAAGTCGCCAAAGCTGTTTCCCGGCCCGGCACTGGAAGTCGCGCAGGGGTGTGTCAGTTTCTACAGTAGTACATCCTTCCGTGGAGCATCACTCCAATTTTATATATATATGTATGTGTGCGGGCTATAATGCACGCTCAAGAATGAATGCATCAGCGCGTTTGTCTAAAGCAGAATGAATTATGCTGCCAGTCCCCCCGAACATCCTGAAGTGCTCCGGATATTGTGGAGGCTACAACTCATCAGCAGCTCTCCGGTGCTTGTCTGACTTCGCAGAGCTTTCGCAACAAACGCATCCCGCTGTGAAATGCTTTAATCAGATAAAACACTTACTTCTGACATGCATCTGTCGGGCAGGTCAGCACTTTGCTCGGAGTGCTTGCACGTCCACCCCCCCTGTTTGGCCAAAAAAAAAAAAAATCCCCTTTACCATCCAGTGTACTCGTCCCCCGCCGCGGTCCTCACTGTACTCCCGTTATCAGCCGGCTCGCTGTTTGTTTGGTTTCTTTTTCTGTTTTATTTCTTTTTTTCCCTTTTTTTGCCGTCCGACGGATACTTTTTGATCACAGCGTAGATGGCTGCGCACGGTAGATCGGTGTCCTAGATCTGGAAACGGCTGCGAAAACAGGACTGAAATCCAGCGTCAAGGAGTATCAAAAGTATAAAATATTGAGTTTGTGAAAAAAAGGCTTGTGCCCGCCCTTCTTCCCCTCCTCTCCACTTCCTTTTCCCACTTTTACAAAGCTCGGGTTTACCCGGGATGCTCAAGGGCAGAAAGAAAGAGAGGAGGAAAAAAAAAGGCTTTATGGAAAATATCTCCCTCCCTCCTCTCTCTCTCTCTCCCTCTCTCTCCCTCGGTTAATGCCTGGGCTAAATCCTTTTACCATCACTTTCAATCACTATCTGAGCTTTTATCTGCTCCAGCCCTGCTGCCTGAACCGGGGCGGTGCAACTTCTCCTATCCGCTCCAGCTCCAAACTGTTCCCCGTCAGCTCTGATCAGCACTCCGCTCGGCTTTAAAGGAGCAGCCGGAGAGAGAGGTGGGGGTCCCGGTGGTACCGTAGCCTTTACCTCCGACCTTATCCGTCCAGATTTGTGAAGATAACGTCATCTATTCTTCTGCCCGCGCTGTTTATCAGTTTATTCAAAAATAATCTCCCCCTTCCCTTCAAAAATAGGTATTCCCGCAGTACTCCTGACGGGACTTGTAGTGCCGGAGAACGTTGTGACCCTATCCCACTTTGTTGAATTATTTATCATTATTCCTGAACCGCAAAATCGCCTTAAATTTACTTGTGAGGTTCAGTAACAGCAATTTTAATTTTAATGTTTTGCAAAGATATTAGGATGACTTTTGCATGTGTCTGCAGTAACTGCAGCATGTGGTGCCTGTGTGCACTGCATCGAAGTACTTTGATAAACGTGAGGTACATGTAGTTAGTTTCCTTACACTGCTGCGCGTGTGTGCGCGCCCGCGCAGTGATGTGTAGTGCTTTTGTCCTGTCCATGGTCCTACTGTGAAACAGACTCTTTAACTTTTCAAGCAGTGAATGTGTTTTTTTGACTAAAGGTTGTGTGACTTTCACCTGATGTATGCTGTTAGACTTGAGTCAATCAACAGTAAAGAAAAAAACACATCAGTACAGAAACAAAACGAATCCAGTTCTCATAATCATAACTGTGCACACACTTACACAGCATGCCATCCATTAAAGGAGCAATGTGTGTTTTTTCTTCAAAGCAGTTTAAAACATTTGAAAGTTGACTAAAAAAAACATCATCAGAATGTGAAGAACAACTATGGTGCTACACTAATTATCAAAAGTATTTCCTTGTTTTTTCTAAACACCAAGTCTCTGTGGCCCAAAACACGCTGCGCCAAAAATCGGTCCACCCCAAGGATCGGGTCCCCCGACACAAACAGAGTAACATAGTGTACGCTGTTAAGTGCCAGGAGGATTGCCAGGATTTATACATCGGGGAAACCAAACAACCTCTGGCGAAACGGACGGCACAACACAGAAGAGCCACCTCATCAGGCCAGGACTGCAGTCTATTTACACCTACTGGCCAGTGGACACTCTTTCAAGGATGAGGATGTACACATCCTGGACAGGGAGGAACGCTGGTTTGAGCACGGAGTCAAGGAAGTCATTTACGTGAAAAGGGAAAGACCATCTCTGAATCGAGGAGGGGCTTTGATCAGTCATTATGCAAATGTACTGTTTATAAGATTGGGGAAACCTGCAGTCAGCTGAGACTGAAGAAGTCACTTGGATGAGTGACGAAACGTTTCTCCCACAAAACGCTACGTCAAGATGAACAGAATCAACTTTCTGGAGATTTACTTTCCTGGATGATTGAGAATGCATCAAGACATCATCACAAAGGCATTTTATCGGGTTGTGGTCAGGACTTTTTTTTGTTGTTGACCTAATTTTGAGCGAGCTTCTCTTATTAAAAACTTGTTATTCCTACGTTACAAAATCTGTCATCTTCAGGGTTAGACATAAACAACTTGCTTATCAGTGAAAGCGATTATCAGCTTCTCCTGCTAGCGCTGATTGCCAAGCTCAGAATGTTTATATCTTGGCAAGATGTGAAAGTTCAAGAGTGGTCACACCCAGCATCAGTAGTTTATTTATTTTTTATTCAAGTGGGTTTACAGGTCAGAAACAATCTGACTGTGGATAGCAGAAGTGCAACCAAAAGCCTCTGACTTTAAGAAAGTTAAAACTGGACTGGGAGATTAGGCCAAAAAATGTCAAGAGCAGTGAAACTTGGGGAGCTGGTGTGTAACAGAGGCAAATACTGTGATGTGACATATTCAAATCTCAAACAGAGACACTGCTGTTGGGACAGGTTTGCTGTGGTGCCATTTTTAGCTCGCGTAGCATTTCTCCATATTTTACACAGCACAGCAGTGCCAAATGTAGCAAAACAGAACCCTCCACTAAGGTGATTTAGTGACTTTTCTTTGGTCTTATTCCACTCAGAGTGTTGTTTGATAGATCGGGATGTACCTCATAATTCATTCTAACATATGCAAACGGTTTATTTGGCATAAGCCTAAAGGTC